GGTGTGTGTATGTGTGTGAATACAAGAGTGGGTGGTTGCAGCTGTAGCATAGTTCAGAACAGTAAAATAGTGTGTGTTTAGTGTCATTTGCGAGGCAGACATGGACTTTAAACTCAGAGGTGCTATTCATGTACCAGCTTTTCATTCAGCTGGGGTCACCCAGGTCCCCTCTCCCCTATTGTCACCTCCAGCCTCAAGGATACCACATTCAGACCCGTCTGCAACTCTTACCTTTATATGGCTCATTCTGTTAGACCTCCAGCCTCCCACACTGCTGAGTCCGTGCTGTGCTTTGACAACAGTGCAGCGGTAGTCAGTACATTTATCTGGTCTTGTTGTTGGTGGCTTATTGGCCCTGGCAATGGGAGACTGAGGTGCCGAAGTGCAAATTAACAACAGATCAGTTAAGCGTGACCTTAAAAACCCTTGGTCTTGTTTAATTGGCAGTTCTGAGACGGGCTAATTGTATAAATCAGCTGGTAATGAGACCTTGGCTTATTGTGAAAAACAACATAATGTGAGAAAATGAACGTGAACGGGCACAGCATTTTCATCCCTTTAGCTAGATGGTCTGATCGGTAAATTGTTTTCTCTCTACTGTCATTACTTCTTAACTTTGGGTGCAGTTGAGTTGGCATGTGGCTCATATGAAGCCTGAAACTGTATGCACTTGCATTAAATCGTACTGGAGCGTCCTGGTTATTTGTGCGTACTCTAACAAAGATCAACAGACATGTTGAAACTAGCAGAGCATGGCCCTAAATAAATCACGAGCAGGCAGAGCTTAAAGAAAGAAAGTAAAATGGAATAAAACAACAGCTTTATATGAACACTGTTTATTAGTGGAATCTGCTGACTGGAAGGCAGATTAATGAGGTAACGAAGAAGTAAATTTTAAACTTTATCTACGGCTGATTCTCATTTGTGACAGCTGTGAGGACTGAAGGTCAGACACAAACAAAGCTGTTTTAGGTCAACTGTGGAGACTCTGACCCTCAGCCAACAGTCACTATGGCCCCAATTCTCTTCCTCTTATTTTGTCTTTGTTTGTCCTGATGTGGGTAAATATGGTTATCTCAGACCCTTGTTGATTTTAACCATGTTCCAAATTCACTGCTGTTTTTTTAATTAAATGAAAGCTATTGACGCAGTAGTTATTCATAACAATGCTGCATACAAGGACACACTTAAAATACCCCTTTTCTGTGTTGTTTTTGCTTGTATTTCAGGTTATTTACATGAATTCACAATCAACCGACCAGTGATCGCTGGAAGCTGGGGATTGAGTCTTTCAGTTTTTGTAAGTATCAATTTGCCTCTTCAGCTATTTCTGTAGTGCTACATGTCTTGTACCCTCCTGCTGTCTTTCACCCACACTGAACACCTGCATCAAATGAGGTGGACAATTGGCTAGGTGCACAATGTATGCACAATTATATAGTTACACAGAAGTTACCCTTTAAAGATTAGATCCCATCCATGAAGAACCTTAATGGCTAAGCAAAGCCTTTTAGAAAGCACTTCTTTATACATTAAAAAAAAAAAAAATTAAACCTTTTTGAATTTACTTACCAGTGGCACTTGAAAAATATAAAACCTTAAATGTAATTTGCTAGCCTAAGACCTTTAAACTCATATTCAAAATTCAGTTATTGTTGGCCAGATATGTTGTGAAACACTAGAGAGAGAGATAAATGTCCAAAACCAATTTTAGTCTTGACAGCTACAGTGTTTGTACAATCCAACTGCACATGAACAAGAATTTTATTTTCATGGGTTTATTTATGATTGTCAACAGTCCCATATTACCTATATTATAACTGCATACTAGTCCTGTATATACTATTGAAACACATACTTGTGCTTTTTTTAAACACCAAAACTGTATCAGACAAATGTTTAACCCAGGTCAGGGTCAGAGCAGCTCTGTGTAATTCTGGCTGTCTACCAAAAAATGTCAGTTTAAAAGGGGTTAAAGTGAAAAAATTTCTAAACAATAAAGTAAGACAATTTCTCTGATATATGGCACTTTAAAAACAGAATAAAGAACACTACAGCCCTCTCTGCATCAATATAATATTACTTTAACAATCTTTGCTCAGATACTGCTTGTGCAGGTTTTCTAATAAAACTGTATCTTAGATATTAAGCAAATAAAGGTGAGGAACTTAGCTGATGTTATTCTTTTCTTCCAAATGTCAGTTGGAGATATCATGGGAATCATATTAATGGGGTTGAGAAGCTCTTCAGCGAGAGCAGTGAAATGTCTCCCTGAATTCAAAGTTCATGGCCATTTACCATTGTTTAATCACGCCATTTCACGTCACACGCTGTCTTCTGCTCAGATGAACATGCACCTGTCTAGCAGCAAGCTACGCCTTAGTGTTGTTAGGTGTCAGTGAGCTGAAGTCATGAAGTAGTCATGCTCTGACAATGGCAATGGTGATGTAGAACACTTCTCATGTACCACATGGAGCACATCTGTTTTTGTTTAGAACACATATACAGTTTAATTTTATTTTGAGAGCAATATGCTTGTGACTGCTGTTATTAGCTAACTGGTTTGTATGCCTGATCATTCACTTTATCAACCTGCTGCAGCATCACTTTTGAAAATGTCTGGATAATTTGAGATATCAAGTTCCGGACGTTATATAAACTATTTACGTTCACTTAGCAGACAGTTTCAAGTTCCGGACATTATATAAACGATTTACGTTCACTTAGCAGACAGTTTCATAAAATATGCAAATGTAAAGGGCTCAGTTGAGCTATCAGCAGAAGCTTTTGTGATCCATCTGCCAACATGGAAGGCTGCGTTTAGGAAAAAGATTTAAAAATATATTGCTAGTTTTAAGAATATAGGAGTGACTTCTTTCACTGCTTTCACCTACAACAGGATCTGTGTAGACCTAAGAGTGTTAATTGTTTATCAGCCAGGTAACTGCCTATAGTTTACAGTGTTAAAGTAGAGACTGTAACAAGTTGGTTGTCAAAACTAGCCTATCTACACAATATCAAACTATCCTCATGCAGGAAGAAACACAGCAACATCTCAAGCTGCTATTAACCATATGCTTGTTTAAAAATATTAAACAAAATTGAATATACTTAACAGGATATAAATGATCATTTATATCGTGTGTTGGTTGCCAGCTGTGTCTGTTGCCACCTGCTGGTCCACGTCTTCCACAGGTAGTTAATAAATTTACCCTTGATGTTTCGATAAAAAAAGACTCAATACTAAAGTGTTAATGATTATGTTATCAAGCCACTGTATAATGTTTTCAGGCAGCTGTCAGTATTTGTAATTAAAAAACAAGAAACACATGAAGCCCTAATGGGCCGGCATTCATGGCCATATCATACTTCTGAGACATTCCTCATACAATCTGAAGTCTAGATCCATTGACCTACAAGTTTAATTAATCTACAAACATGACAGGAAGTAATTTAGTTTGTCTGGAGCACTTAAAGAACACTTTTAATTAGACATGTCCAATCTCATTTGGAAACACCTGAGGATATGTTAGACCACCTGAATAGGCCATATACACTCTTTGTTAGTATGTACCATTTATTTAATAAGCAACAGCCACACAGCTCTCAGCCCACTGTCGTCACGGCACCGAAGGGAAGGATGCGGGGGAGCCGTTTTGTCAGAAATTAAATAAACAGCACTTCACCATAAAATGAAAATGAATAACCTCTGAATGGTTATTCTTCATCTATTATTTATCAAATGGGCCTCTTCAGTCCACTGACCCTGCAGTGATTATGGTCAATATGTTGCTGAACAGAAACCACTCGACAAAGCTCGCCGAACAAAGATTTTAATTTCATCAGCCTCAATGACTTCAGAGGATCCCAGTGCGAATTTGGAAAACTAATTGCTGCACATGTCATTACCTGGACAGATTGTGGAAAGGCCTCCAGAACTTTATCCATCTTTCAAAACCCTAGTAGTTTGCGCTCTGTATTACTCATATAGCAGATTACTTAAATGAAAATATGCTTTCCCCTGTCTGCAATTTGATTAGGCATGCTGTTGTCTGGGCTGTATTTATAGTTGTTGTCTATATAGAATTACATGAAAATCACCTTTCCCTAAGTCTGTTGCTATTATTATTATTATTTGAAGGTTTGATGGAGTTTATTTGAATTAATAATTAGAATAAAACCCTAATATGAATTTGGCTGCCATCCTGTATCTCAAGGCATGTTTCCTTGTATTGTAGGACAGAGCCTCACCTAGCAGTGGGGGAAGTACTCAGGTTTCTTAAAAGTAGTAATAGTGTAAAAACACTTTGTTACAAGTAAAAGTCCTGCATTCAGAAAGTTACTTATGTTAAAGTACAAAGTTTTTGCACCAAAAAAATACTCAAAGTACCAAAAGTTAAAGTGCTTATTATGCAGAATGGCACAGTTAACATTAATGTTTATCCTATTATTCAGTTATAATTACTGATGCATTATCTGTGGTCATCAAGCTTACATTTTGCAGCAGCTAAGACAAAGTATGAAGTATGGCACAAAATGAAAAATCATAATTAAGTACAGTACTTGATTAGATGTACTTAGTTACTTTCCACCACTGCCACCTAATAGCTATATACAACAGAAAACAGGACCAAAGAACATGCCATTAATTTTCTTGCTACCCCAGCTGTGGAAAGTAATGCATAACTAAAAGTCCGGTAAAATGAATTAATGACTTCAACCATGAACTTTTCTCCCAAAACACCATGAATCGTCTCCAACTGATAATGCACCATGACCCTGGAGTATGAAATCCCTGTTGCGTTGAGAGTAGCCAGTTAATTGATTTACAAATTATTTAAAGTTTGTGGCGCCCACGGGAGTGCTAGGATCTAATGACGCCCCATTTTGAAAGAGCTGAAAAACTCTTCTCAAGCAAGCCAGTATTAGATTGTAATAGTAAGTGAACAAGTCTTATCTGAGCCCCAGGAAGAGAGGTAGCATTCAGCATTGTGTTGTTAGACTCTGGTCAAATGATAATGCTATTTAATTTGGAATCTACATAATTTTAAATTAAAGATCTAATTTAATCATCATTTATTCCTCTTTTATGAGGCTTTATTTTTTTTTAGTGGATCTTTTATTCTCTCTGGAAAAACATACAGTATGAAGGATGAATTGTTATTAATACAGATCCAAAGCCAAACATGCTTATGTAGAGCTTACCCATGCCATTGTTTCCAAACTTGGCATCTGTCATTCGTGCATTACTATGACACTCATAGTAGCAAATTCACCTGTTAACTTTGTGTTGACTCTAAATGGGGTGTAACTGAGTGTGACATGGTGAAATGTTACCCACAACTCTCAGGCAGGCTGATAAGCATTGTACCCCACCTGTGGAATGTGTGAATAAGAAAAGCTGAATTTAGAATTCAGAACTCAGTGGACAAAACAAATTAAATCAGTTCAGAATATATTGTTGTGGTGAGGATCTAGACCAAGCAACAGCCAGTCATTCTGTGCAGCATCATCTAGTAGAACACACACAGTATGTTCCATTGCGTTTTAGTGGAAGTTGTTGGATCTCTGCATTAATATCAAGAAGCCTCTAATCTTGACTCATTAGCAACCGCTGTCATTCAGACACACGGTGTCGGCCTGATTTAAATAAAATGAAATGAAGATAGTTGTTTCTGGTCCCTTGGCTTCACTCATTGCCATAAACATATGCTCTGTGCCCCGCTTCTTTCCATCTTATTTATGACTTTAATTTGTTGTGTGGGCTGCACAAGAAATCAAATTTAATCCAATCCTCCCAGGGACCCTGTCATATAATAACATGGTAATTTCTGTGTATCCTTTTGAAAAATGAGGAAATTAATTCTTCCTGACATGTTCTAATTATTCCAGTGTGAACGGCGGATGGGCTCCCCTCCTTCCTCCCCATCCCCCCAGCTCCCTAAGTGTCAGTTGCCGACGGGTGGCGAGGTGCTAATGCTGACCAGCAGCGCGTTTAATTTGAAACATGAGCAGACACCTTTCAACACACCTTGCTAATGTTGGAGTGGCTCACACAAATTAATTCACTACTCATCTGGCAGCTCTGACTGAGATGTGTGCGAGGGCTGGCAACTGTTTGTGTGTATGTTAGGGGATGGGATCAATAGGACACCACTGCCATTAGTAAAGGTAACATAAGGGGTGTCTGTGTCTGTGAACTACACTGTGGGTGCATTCGTGTATCCGTCAGTGTGTGGACACATGTGCTGGACCAGGTATCACCATATTTCTTGTAACTGGGTGTTGGGTTGGTGTGGTGCTGTCTGTTGGGATGCTGGAATTGCTTGGACAGCTTTTTTCCTCCCTCGATCCTCTTTCTCTCAAACCTTTTCACACATCCCACTGCACCACTGAGAGCACTGCAAGGCTTATTTAATTAAATTGTCATCAGGCAGTCTTTAGCTTCTCACTTCAATTTACATAGGGACACTGCTGGAAGAGATGTTGTGGAACAATAATTTTGCGTTTCATGTTCAGGGGTTAAAAAGTTTAAAGCCTTTTTTTTAAAAATTGCATTTTTTTGATTTGTACAGATGCTATATTGTTATCATGGAGAGTAACATATGTTAATAATTAACAAAATCAAATGTAAAGTAAATATAATGTATATTAAAATATAATAACAATGTGATCTGACTTTTGACTTTTGTCAAGTCCACAGCATTATGTGTTCGGTCTTCAGAGAGAAAGAATGTGTTTGCACTCTAATTATGTACAATATTTACGCAGGAGGAGAAAAAATAAGCAAACAAAATTTACTGAACTTTGGAGTTGGGGTAAAACCACAGAGCTGTAATTGATTTAGTGTGTGTGCGTATGTTGTCTGTGGGTCGTAGAGCAGAGGGCTCATAGTCATGGTGTCATGGTTGAGGAGAAGAGAACGTTGCTTTGTGAACAGTGGGTGGGTCCCCCTATGACTCAGAGAGGGGAGAGGCGTCAACATGGCCGCCCGGCCCACAGGGATTAGCCACCCCCCCCACCCCTCCTCCCGCTTACACGCCCTGCAGGGTTAATCACTGCCATTTTGGATCCATGTGGAGGGAGCAAATGCACTCTCCATCACTATGGAAGAACTGAGACATAGGCCAGCAGTTCCGTGGGTAGATCTACTTCATAAGTTTGTTTCCACTCAGTACAGTTGAGTATTTTGAGACCTGGTTTACTTATTTTCAGCAGGTGGAGTTCTTGGATCAGCACAAGCTTTTGCTCTCTGTGTCCTTGTCTTTGGATACTGCTATGTTTTCCAATACGTGTTTGTTTAAGGGATATAAGTAAACTGGCATCCAGTTTTGGTAGAATTTGTGTAGTTAACTTTTGTGTTTTAGTGTGTGCTGCACACTACGTGAGCCTGTTAATGGCTGAAGGCTGCGAGTGCCGGCTCGTGCCAAGACCCACATGGCTGCTGGCCGTGCATTAAATCAGCAGTCAATTTGACTGGAAGTTTGAAATCTGGGCTAGGTTAAGGGGATGTGCTGAAGCCTTGTTAATAGCTAGCTTGTTGTCCATATGGTAGTGCTTTAATAGAGCACATTTGTTGCAGATGGTGGGAGACTTGGTTAGGCAGAAGCAGCTTTTGGCAGAGGCTCATTCTTCGAAAGGGCTGCCGTGCTGCTCAGACTGGTCCAGGCCAACTTAGTGATGTCTATCCTCCCTACTTCTCCTTCACTAAAATGCCTGCCCTTGAATTGTGGCCTAACCTTAATTTAAAGCCATTCTAGTTTTTTGTTGCTCAGGGAAGAGCAAATACA